ATGACCAAAATTCTCAGAAGATTTCATTGGATCTTACCGACGCTGACGCTTAGGTTTGCATGCCAAATTTGAAGCACTTATCAGTTTCTCTTGCAGCCAGATATCGATACAAACCTTTTACTTTTTTTTATAGACGTGAATTCCAACGGTCAAATTTCACGTCGCAGCTTAAAAACCAACCACCAGTATCCTGATGCCCTTCAAGGACTTGGAGATGGGATTAAGAATTATGTGGTCTCCATTGTCAAGACATCTGTGGAGTCTTACTGTCTCTCTCCTGGCAAAGTGTGCGTGGCAGGTCCCCCAGGACCAAAGGGCATCGAAGGAACTCCCGGTGAACGAGGACCAAAAGGAACTACTGGGATCAAAGGGGAAAAAGGTATTCAAGATGAAGTCATGTGACCTGCCTATTGATGCTCCTCTCTAAAGAAAGACTCACCACTTTCTAAAGCGTTCAATTGTCAATTAACATAATTATTATATTATTATTATAAATATCAAAACAAATGTATTTGTTCATGGATTACCATAGAAAAAATTCTAGCGTAATAGACCATAATTTGGGAAAACTGACAGCATACTTTCATTGCAAGTTTATGTCTTAACCCTGGTTCAGGTTAGACCATTTTCGCTCGTAACCCAGTATGAGGGCTAGCTGCCTGTTCCTTTGCATCTCCAATAGTATTAAGTAGTGATAAAATTCACGCGGCTTGTAAAGCATCGAAGCTTGACAAATCACGTGCCAATAATGACGAAATATTACGCTTAAATGACTTCGCATTTCAAAATTCGCCATCATGGATTCCAAATGTTTTTCAAAACTATCAAAACAGTTCCAAAGTTGATTAAAAATCAGAGCAATAAAAGTTGCATACATATGGCACCATACCTCTGAGCGGATAATTTAACACGCGCCTTGTGTGGATGTTTACGTGATGAATGAAAACGCGTGGAAAACTGCATCGGCTGTTAACCTCGGAAGATCCGCGCCACAGGAATGACTATTTCTAGGCCCCCTGAGTTTTTTGAAAACAGGATTGACGTAAAAAACAAACAAACAAACAAACAAACAAAGAAAAAACACTTGGGAGCAATTACTTGCGAAGTTTACGAATAAGGCCTTAGGATCGTCAAGCTAATTAGTAACAAAACAAGGAACTCACCAATTGAAATGAATAAGTTTGATAAGGCAGTCTTAATTGTTGACTAGCTACGAATAATTGCAATTTAGCTGGGTTTTCACGGCTCGATAAAAAACCGACAGATTGCTGTGTTCTTGGCATCTCGAATTGTTGAACCCGTCTAAAAACCTTAAGACTATAGCTACAACCAGCAAATTCATCTTGTCCTTTGAACAAGAAAATAAGCACATATAGAACTGGCATGGAATAAATTGAGTGATCGTAGTGCTGCGTGCACTACCTGGCATGGTTAATAGAAACCGCGTTTTGCCAAGGTAAGGGCACAACTCTGACTCCATAAAAATGGCAATGTACATGCACACACAAAGAAAAAAAATTAAGGAGCAAAAGAAACTTAGCTCCCCATTCCTTTAGCTACCTTTAAATGTGTATGATTGTTTTTTTCCTCGTTAAATGTTACAGGAGCTCCAGGACATCCGGGACCTAAAGGTGACGTAGGGGAGTCAATATCTGCTCCAGAAGTTTTTGTATCTCCTACCTCACTCACTGTGACTCAGAACCAGACCGCCACGTTTTACTGCTCAGCTGATGGTAATCCAAAGCCTAGCGTAGCCTGGAGTAAAATAAGTGGCTCAGGACTGGTGAATACGGACGGACAAGGCAATAAGCTACAGATCAAGAGTGCAGGTTACAATCACTCGGGGAGTTACGTTTGCACGGCTACAAATCTCTTGGGACATGGCAAGAAGGTGGTGAAACTTTTCGTGGAAGGTATGCACACTATATGCTTCAGAACGCACACAACTTTGTCAAATGGGTACACGCGTCATTGCACATGTTTTATTTTTTTGGTCTAATACACTTGACCTGAGTCGGATCGACTAAGGTGGTAATCGACCCGGAAGTCCAAGCTGACTTCCGGTACGTGGAATTTCTTCCGTTTTAAAAATCGTGAACTGACTTCCATTAAGAAGGGCCGACACCATGAAGAGTCGACCCGACTCAGGTCGCGTGTATTGGACATGGTAAAAGCACCATGAAGTCGCTTTTCCATAGACTGGTTTTATTTTTCTACGGTAGGATAACTTACTGCATGAATGCTGGGACGATGGTAACTTAAACTGAAGAGAATGAAGGAATGAATGAAAGAATGAA